CCAATTCTACCTTACAAATCTGGCTAGACCAGAGGATGTACATTGGTACAGATAGCAACTGGAAACACAGGGAATCCAGGACAGATGACTCCTTCAGAACCAGTGGTGAAAGGGGCGAGGCCTGGAAGGTGAAGGAAATGTAGGGTGGAAAGGGGGAACCGATTACATGAATCTAGGTATTGCCTCCTCCCTGGGGGAGGGGTAGCAGAGAAGGGGGGTGGTAGAAGGGCGTCGGACAGTGTAACAAGACAAAACTATAATAAGTTGTGAACTATGAAGGGTTCATGAGGAAGGGGGGGTGGGGAGGAAGGGGGGAAATGAGCAACTGATATTAAGGGCTGAGGTGGAGGGCAAATGTTTTGAGAAAGATGAGGGCAGCGAATGTACATATGTACTTGTCACAATGTGATGAGAATTGTATGAGCCTCCAATAAAATAATTTAAAAAAAAGAATTCAGAAAAGCGAGACTTCATCTCACATACTTCGAACATCAAGTTGGGTAGAGGGTCATCGCAAAAAAAGGAAAGCCCTGCCGGAGATGGATTGACAGTGGCGGCACCGCGGGCTCAAACACCAGCAATTGGGAGGCGGATGCAGGACTGGGCAGAGTTGGAATCATGAATTACTAATCTAAGAAAAAAACACAAAAAAAAAACCCCAAATGAATTACTAATCTCTTTATGGTCCTCAGTCCCAGGAATTCAGGTGAGAAACCTTGATGCGATCCAGTCTGGACTTTTGAAAGCTCAAGCTAGCGTTTTCGTTTCCATGGTAACCCAAAGACCGCCCCTCCAAAATGATTGACAGTACCTGCATCCAATGACATCGTTGCACTTGTCGTTTTCCTCTAATCGGATTGGCGGCTTGGGAACCAGGGGCGTTCCCAGCCGGGCAAAGACCCGTAGCGTTGCTTTGTGTCATCAGTCGGCGCCGAGAGCACGTTTGGCCTGTTTCGTTCCGCCGCGCGACTGCTTCGTCGTCGGGGCGATGACCTGCGCCGGGGCCGGGGCGGCGGCGGCCCAACCTCTGTGGCGGCTGCGCACCAGTGCCCGGCGGCCCCTCTCAGGTAAAGGGCAGGCAGGGTCGTGACCCCGCGCGGGCCCGGGAACCGCGGCGGCCCAACCACTGTGGCGGCTGCGCACCAGTGCCCGGCGGCCCCTCTCAGGTAAAGGGCAGGCAGGGTCGTGACCCCGCGCGGGCCCGGGAACCGAGGAGGACGTGCTGGAGCGGTGGAGGGGATAGGGGGAGACGCCTGACGTCACAGCGCTGCGACCGAGCCCGACCGTGACGGAGCGCGGCGCAGGGCCGCGGACGGCCTGTAGGGGGCGGAGTCTCGGGGTCGGGTAGTGACAGGTCCCGGCGGGGACCCTTTGCCGGGGCGGGGCGGCACGTTGGGGGCTGACGTAATTGAACGTGGGTGCGTTGACGTCGCTTCGGGAGGAGGTTTAGGCGAAGGACACACTCTCACTGTCATCCAGTCGATTCCGACTCATAGCGACACGGTAGAGCTTCCCCCGGTGGGTTTCCAAGATTGCAGCTTTTTTTTTCAGTCTTGAGTTGCTGTGTATTGGGCATCCTCAAGGCAAGATTTTTTTTTAAATCATTTTATTTGGGGCTCTTACAGCTCTTAAAACATTCCATACATCAATTGTATCAAGCATATTTGTACATATGCTGTCGTCATCGTTTTCTAAACATTTACTTTCTATTTGAGCCCTTGGTATCAGCTCCTCTCCCCGTCCCGTGTCCCCTTAATAAATTATAAATTATTATTGTTTTCATATCTTACACTGACCACTGCCTCCCTTCATCCACGTTTCTGTTGTTCATGCCCCCCGAGGGCGGGGGGTTGTTGGGAAATTGTGCATCAACCATTGAAATTGTCTCCCCCTTCCTCCCCTCCTCCCTCACCTTTCCCGTATCCTCCTGGGATCACTACTCCCATTTCTGTTCCTGAAGGATTTATCTGATCTGGATTCCTTGTGTTGTGAGCTCTTACGTGTACCAGTGCACATGCTCTGGTCTAGCCAGAACTGAAAGGCAGGACTGAGGTCATGATAGTTGGGGTTGAGGAAACCTCAAAGAACCAGAGGAATATTGTGTGTTTCACAAGATTGCAACTCTTTAAAGGAGTAGGGAAGAAAAAGGAGTAGAAAGCCTCATCTTTCTCCCAAGGAGCCTCTGGTGGCTCTCGGACTGCTGACTTTGGGGTTAGCAGAACCGAATGTGTAGCCAGGCCATGATCAGTTGGCAAAAATGCAGTGGTCGATGCAGGTGGCACCCTCTCCGGGCCCTCCTCGTCGAAGCCTTCGCCAGGCTTTCCTGCCCCGAGTGTAGTCCTACAAGGAGCAACCTAGGCTTCCCCTGGGAACTTGTTAGAAATGATGGGTTTGTACTTCCGACTCATTCTGAGAAGCACCAGTGTGCTGCAGAGGGAAGTGGCCCCTGGCTCCCTTCCCTCCTCTTAAAACGAGCTGCTTCAGAAACATGTTGTCAGGCTGTTTGCTCTGCGTTGAATCATTTGTGTACCACTTGGAAGAATCTTGTTTTACAGCAAAATTATTTTTTTTAATCACTTGTATTTTGATGACTGAATAGTTCCCCACCTCCCCATATAATAAAGCCCCGTTCTGAACCTACATAAAATTGTTTGACAGCAACTAAATCCTTATTCTGGTAAAAGAATCACCAGGATCCAATGGATCCTCATGAAGCTCATAAATACACACTGAAAACAACATCATTAAAGACAAGGCTTTCCATCTGAGGTCTTAAAGTCTTGAAGATAAACAAGCGGCCAGCTAGCTGAGAAGCCACGAAGCCCACATGGAAGAAGCACATCAGCCTGTGTGATCATGAGGTGTCGATAGGTCAGGTAGCAGGCATCAAAAACCCAGAACAAAAAAATCATCTTAGTTAATGAGGGGGAGTGTGGAATGGAGACCCAAAGCCCATCTGGAGGCAACTGGACATCCCCTTGGAGATGGGTCGAGGGGAGGAGACGAGCCAGACAGGGTGCAGTGTAGCACCGATGAAACATACAAGTTTCCTCTAGTTCAGTGGTTCTCAACCTTCCTAATGCCATGACCCTTTAATACAGTTCCTCATGTTGTGGTGACCCCCCAACCATAAAATTATTTTTGTTGTTACTTCATCACTGTAATTTTGCTGCTGTTATGAATCGGGTGACCCCTCTGAAAGAGTCGTTCGACCCCTAAAGGGCTTGCACCCACAGGTTGAGAACCACTGCTCTAGTTCTTTAATGCTTCCTCCAACACCCCCCTCTATCATGACCCCAATTCTACCTTACAAATCTGGCTAGACCAGAACATATACATGGGTATGGATAAGAGCTGGAAACACAGGGAATCCAGGACAGATAAACCCACAGGACAATCTTGAGAGTATCAATACCAGGAGGGTAAGGGGAATGTGGGGGGAGAAAGGGGGAACTGATCACAGTGATCTACTTATAACCCCCTCGCAGGGGGATGGAAAACAGAAAGGTGGATGAAGGGAGTTATACATTATCAAGGGTCCAGTCAGCTGTGTGTCCGAACTCAGCCTCTGGTCACAATTGCTTACAGTTCTCAGTAAGTGGTGGGTTGTTTGTTGTGTTTAAACATTATACATTATCAAGGGAGGAAGGGAGGGAAAGAATGAGAAGCTGATACCAAGGGCTCAAGTAGAAAGAAAATGTTTTGAAAATGATGATGGCAACAAATGTGCTTGCCACAATGGATGGATGGATGGATTGTGATAAGAGTTGTACGAACCCCCAATAAACGATAAAAAATAAATAATAAAGACGGGGCTCTCTACTCCCAGAAAGAAATACTGGCTTGGAAACTCACAGGGCCAAACTGCTTGTCCTAGAAAGACGCCGCCGACTTGATGGCAGTGAGTTTGTTCTTTTGGTTTGGACCGTGCAGTGGTCACACACTCGCCCACGACACTACACGAGCTCCTTGAGCAGCTAGTGCTTCAGTAACAGACCCACAAGTGGCTGGCTTTAGCAAACAGAACTTTATTTTCTCCCAGCTTACCCAGCCCGCCTGATTCCCACTCCTGGGGACCTTGTATGGGGTTTCCAAGGAACCCTCATGGGAGCAGACAGCCTCATCGTTCTCCTGAGAGGTGGTGACAGCTAGACTGGAATCGCCAGCCTTGCATTTAGATCTCAAGGCTAGGAGGCTAAAAATCTGAATTCAGGCCTCCGGCCTTTAAGGGAAGGCTTCCTCGGTTGGCCCTGGTAGAGGTCCTGTTGCTCAGTCTTCATGTGCTTGGCATCCCTCTTCCCCCATCTCTTCCTTATCTGTGCAATTTCTGTATCTCATAAGAGACGGACTCAGAACACACTGATCCTGCCCCGTTAACATACAAAGGCAGCCAGCCTCTGGGTGGCCCTAGGTAATCTGTTTTAACTTCACAATGGAATGCAGGCTTCTAAGTGCCCCAATTCTTGTCTAAACTACCCCTCTCTCATTGTCAAGCGGTAAGTCTTTCTCCTGGGGACAGGAGTGTTCACCCCACCACCCACGCCCAGACCTCCCAACCCCCGCCAGGGGTGCAAGCTGGAGACGAAATCCAGGAATAAAATCATAAAACAAGCCACCTGAAACTACCTAAATATACTTTTGTTTTACTTCTGTCAGTACCGCTTACTTAATGATATTTTTAATCATTTTATTGGGGACTCATATAACTCTTGTCACAATCCATCCATCCATCCATTGTGTCAAGCACATTTGTACATTTGTTGTCATCCTTCTCAAAGCATTTTCTTTCTACTTGAGTCCTTGGTATCAGCTCCTCATTTTTCCCCCCTCCCCCCCGACCCGTGGTATATGAATTTCAACTTGCTTTTTCTCCTGCATTCTGCTTTCTTCCTGAGGGATATGAGAGGCTTGGCCAGGGAAGACGGCACTGCGGTGTGTGGATCGGTCTTTGAACATCCCCCTGTAGTCCAGGCGGGCCTGATACACACCGAAGACTGCACAGAACTCTAATTGGACATTGTAGTGGTCTTCTTTTACTTGAACCCACAACATTAATACTAGGAGTATTTTAAAAGATGAAATCCAGTCCTGAAGCAGTGACATTTTTTTTTTTTTTGAAGCAGTGACATTTTGAAGACAAGAGGAAGTGGGCCAAAATAAGATGAGACCGAAGTTCAAGGCTCAGACTGGCCCCCCACAATCCAACCCCCACGGGAACAGAATCTGTTGGGCAGGTCAGATTCAGTATGGGACACTCCCCACCCCTAGCCTGAGGGACTGGGCTGGGGAGGCGCCTCTCAGTAACCGAGGGCTCACGAGGTGTGTGGCATGCAGCCCGAGAGGGCAGCCACTGACACAAGAGTGAGGCAGGAGTAGATAGGTGACCTCCACCCGCCTTGGGTGATGGCGGAGTACCTGTAGTGTGAGAAGGCAGATCTTCAGAAATGTAAAATGACCCAGAAATCCAGAGCTACAGGTAAAATCTGTAAGGTTTCATATCTTGGTAACATAACTAATTCGCTGTTTTTAAAAATGCTGTAGGTGAAATAAAAGATCTCTTTGGCCCACGAGCGCTCACTTGGGGTCTTTGTCCTAAGGTGTTCTTGTCTGTAGGAGGGACTGTCCCCAGAGTGGTGATGAATCACCGCTTGTATTGTAGTTTTCGGAAGGAAGCTTGGCGCCAGGTGTTGCAGTTCGGGAATGACCTTAGACACCATCAACCGGGCGACTGTGGATCGAATAATTCGGGTGGATCACGCAGGTGAATATGGCGCCAACCGCATCTATGCAGGGCAGATGGCGGTCCTGGGCCGGACCAGCGTTGGACCAGTCATCCAGGTAGGTCTCTTAGCTCTCACCGGCTGCTGTGCAGATGGTCCAAAGGCTTCAGGCCCACCTGAGGCCAAGTGTCCTCAAGAGAGGCTCTGTTGCCACAAAGGTATGGATTTTTGACAATTGGAAGAGGTAGGAAAAAAATCTCTTTATGTGTGAAGCACAGATATATATGTAGTATGTTTCCAAAAGTTTATGAAAAATAAAAGGTAATGGGATTTTCCCATGAGCTCTTTGAAGTTCAGCACGCACCCAGCATTTAAAAGGGTCTTGGTGGTGGCGGTGGTAGTGAGAGAGGGTGGCGGATCGCTTCTTCAAGTGAAGGCCCTGGAGTAAAACACACACACACACACCCGCAATTCTCAGTCGAACAAAAGCAGAGAACCACGACGACTTCACAAAGTTCAGGGGAAATTCCAGTTCCCTCTGCTTTGGACTGCTGACCGCGAGGAGCAGGAGAAAGATGGGGCTTTCTACTCCTGCAAAAGTTACAGTCTCAGAACCCCCTGGGAGCAGCCCTATCCTCCCCACGTGGTTGCCGTGAGTCAGGACTGACTCCGTGGCCTTGTGGAAGCACCCTGATAGTTTATACGCAGAGGTAGCTCTGTGGTCACACAATTGCTGATTCACGGTTCCGTTGACTCCCACCTTGGGAAGCCACTCGGCCTCTCTGAGGGCCCATTTCCTGCCATGGTTGCACATGGGCTGTTTCCACCGACCTCAGTGGACTTGGGTGCCGTATACATGCGTATTTGTTTGAAAATGAGTTTTAAACTAGTACCACTGTCCGCATGTAATAGGCACACATACAAGTTAGAGGCCTCCTCTGACTCCCTGGGCATGGCACCTAGCCTCTCGGTGCCTCCCTCCTTCCCTCCGTCTAGTGACGGGTTTCAGGGGTTTGTACTTCACGGGCTGTGGTAGAGAGTAAGAGAGCTCGGCACTTGGCGCAGCCGGGTCCGGTGAGCGGTTATGGCGTTCGCCCTTCTCCCTTGGTTTCGTTGGGCCTCCTCGTCTAGCTTGCTGAAAGGAAGGCGCAGAGCAGTGGGGTCTACCCTGACTAACTTGGGACAGATTGCCCACCTCATTTCCCATGGGTGTGACATGGTTCTTGTCCTTGTGAGTCTGGGCCTCTCCACCCTCACCTGAAATCGCATCCGAGACCCCCTTCTGCCTGATGGTTGGGTTTTGCCACACGTGACTGGAGGGCAGTGGGGGAAGGCACCGCCCTCGTCCTTTCCTCCACCTGTGCTTCTCGTACTTCATGCCAATGGGAAGGGCAGGGCTGCGGCCGTCGCCCCCACGGCATGCCTGGTGTCTTGCAGAAAATGTGGGATCAGGAGAAGGAGCATCTGAGGAAGTTCAGTGAGCTGATGGTGGCACTCAGGGTCCGGCCGACGGCTCTCATGCCCTTTTGGAACGTGATGGGGTTTGCCCTGGGTAAGTGTGTCTGTCCAGACGCGTCTGCGTGAGCTTCCTGGGCTTGGATGGTGGGAATCACCTGTGCCCCATTTCCAGACCTCTTGCTGGGTCCTGGCACTGCCAGGTACTGGTGACTGGACACTCTCTCTAGGAGTTTCGTTGACCCTTTTTTGTTGTTGCTTAAATTCTTTTAAGTTGGCATGTTTAAATCAGTGGTTTCATGAAAGGACACAAACAAGCAAAAACATCAAACCCACTGCGGTCAAGTCAAACCCGACTCCCACTGACCCTGTAGAAAGGAGTGGGGATGAGAGTAGTAGAATTCGATGGCAGGCAGATACTGTCGTCTGGCAGAGGTTCTCAGCCTGAGGTTTCCTCAGGAGGACCAGACGGGGCCGCCCCGTCGAAGGCTCTTCTTCCATAAACGGGTCAGAGAGAGCCCAGAGAAGCGCGGCTGTCTCCCCACGGGACTCGAGTTCCCGCTGTGATCAGGGTCCGCCTGAAACAGTGCTTTTTGAGTCCAGGGGGATTTGCCCCCAGAGGACATGTTCGCCGTCTGGAGGCATCTGTGGTCGCTCCCCCCGGGGGAGAGGTTACTACAGTAAAAGACCTCCTGGCCCCTGAGGTAGATAGTGATGAGGTTGTGAGACCCTGGCCTGAGATGCCCCCCTCTGCGCCCCATCAGTGGTCTCTCCGCCCCGCTGAACTGCTCTGGGCTTGCCCCTCCAGGAGCGGGGACCGCCTTGCTGGGGAGGGAAGGCGCGATGGCGTGCACCGTGGCTGTGGAAGAGTCAATTTCACATCACTACAACAACCAGATCCGGACGCTGATGGAGGAGGGGCCTGAAAAGTACGAGGAGCTCCTTCAGGTATCGCAAGCTCGAAGGGGCAGGGGAAGAAAAACCAGGGTGAGCCAGAAAGCAGTGTTACAAAGCCACCTGAAACCTTTAGGAACGAAAACCCACCAAAGGGGAAGCTGTTGTCTTCTCCACATCCCCTCCCTCAGGGCTGTGTGCTGCGCTGGAAGTGGGCTTCCCACCTTGAGAACTCTTACCCCACGATGTCCAAAGGGGCAGCAATGAGGGCTGTAGGGCGGGTGGGATGAGGTGTGTAGGCTGGCCCTTGCTCCCGTCGGAGAACAAGCAGGTGCTTTGTCTTGACGGCGAGATGTGCCGCGCACAGCTTTCCTGGCCCCCTTCATATCAGTGCAGTTGTCTATTATCTTAGGACTTCTTCCTGTGTCCTTCCGGAAAGTCTATCAGGATGACCCCTTTGGGCTGCCCCTTCTGCCTTGACTGCAGTTGCCACCGCAGATGTCCCAGGAAGCCGCTGTTGGGATCTTTGTATGGAGGGACCCTCAGGAGACTGAGACCCTCAAGTGTGACAGATGGGGAGAGCAGGTCTGCAGCCACCCCCTGTGCACGGAGTCATGGCTGCACACGCTTTGTTTTATTTGGAACAAGCCTGCAGGTGTGAACTGTTGGAGCCCTGGTGGCACCATAGTCCAGGCTGCCAAGTTTGAAACTGCTAACCACTCCTGGGGAGAAAGATGAGGCTTTCTACTCTTTTAAAGAGTTACAGTCTCTGAAGCCCGCCAGGCCAGCCCTCTAGGGTCACCGGGAGTCAGAGTCCACTCGATAGCAGTGCTCACTGGTAACGAGCCCGGTGACGCTAGAGACTGGGTGACTACAGGTCCGTGGTTTGGACCCACCAGCCACTCCCAGGCTGAAGAACGAGGCAGTGTGCTTCCATAAGGCGACAGTCAGGGACACCTGTGGGGCACTTCCGCTTTGTCCTGTAGAGTGGCTGTGAGTCGGAATTGACTGGGGGCCAGTGAGAAGGGAGTCGCTGAGAATAGCTGGCACCGAGACTGTGGCCGGCCCAGCTGAGGAAGGATTTACTGTCTGACCCTAGATAGGAAATATTTGCTGATCCGACCTGAAAGTGTTAGCTCTCCGCTCCAAACTTGCTGCCATCGAGTCAGGTCTGACTCACAGCAACCTATAGGACAGGGTACAGGGTAGAACTTCCCGTTGGGGTTCCGAGACTTTCCCTCTGCACAGTCGGAGACAGCCTCATCCTTCACCCTGGGAGTGACTGATGGGTTCAAATGGCTGACCTTGTGATTAGCAGTACAAGGTGTACGTAACCCACCTCCCCACTAGAGCTCTTGAAGCTCTGGGGTCGATCTCCACAGTAAGCCAGGGCAGCAGGAGCGGGGGATGCTGATGGGCTTGTTTCTTTTTTCTCTGTGCACACCTAACCAGGTCATAAAGAAGTTCCGGGATGAAGAACTTGAGCACCACGACACAGGCCTTGAGCATGATGCCGAGCTGGTAGGGCCCTGCTCTTCCCAGTAGCTTCCAGGGACCCAGGGCCCTTTGTCTGGAAGCTTAAGAGGCCAGGGCAGTGTCTGTTTCAAGAAAAATAGATTTAAGGGGATGGCCAAAGACAGAAGCCTGGTGTGTTGCTTCGACATAAAACGAGCGGAAATGCTGCTCCCAGTTAGGTATCTTATGCTTTGCGCCCTCCTCTGTCCTTTTCCTGCCACGCTGCTTCCCTGCATGGTGAGGGGCCAGCAGATTCCACTTAGGGGCCATGGCAGAGGCTGTCCATCCGATCTTTTGCAAAGACACCCCCCACCCCCCAAGGATCATAAAGTGCACCTCATATCTCCCTTCTTAGCCAAGGAAATCCAAACCCAGAGGGGAGGCGGGTGGGGGGAAGGAGGGAAGGAGGGGACGGGACAGCAGGAGAGGGTAGGTGTTCTTGGACAGCTGCTGTGAAAGCCAGCTCCCTCGGCTGGGCCTTCCTCTCCTGGTCCCTTGATGCCACAGGGTCCCGGGGCATGGTCCTGGCCTCTGTTCTCAGTCTGTTTTCCCTTCTCTAACTCCAGAAGGCCACTGATAAATGTCCAGCTGTCCTTGATCCCTCCACTGGAAGTCAAGACTTCCATGTGCCCCCGTCTGGACATCTCACCCCCACCCCTGGGGGCAAGCCTACTCCCCCAGTGGCCTTCCCCATGGTAGCCCATGACAGCTCTGTCCCCAGTGGTCAGCCTCAGAGCTGCTTTGGTGCTTGGCCTCTGTCACTGTGTAACCTGTGTGCTTCTTTGGTTTGCTTGCTGTTCATTTGAAACAGGCACCCGCGTACACCCTTTTGAAGAGGGCGATCCAGGCCGGATGCAGTGCGGCGATCTATTTGTCAGAAAGATTTTAAATCGTGCCACTCGTCCCCATCTAGAAGAGACAGTTGTCATTTTACAGGTGATTATTTTTTCCAGAAAAGAAAATGAATAATTATTGTTATGTAAGCCTTCTTACCCAACTGTGAACATCCTCCCTCTCCCCCTTTAATGAAAATCCCCCATGCTAACTTTTCTCTGGGCTGCTCTTAAGCTGAAAGGACAATGTGTTCAGCAAACACATTCAACTGATGGCAAATGAAGGCTTCTTTATTTGATCTCACAGCTCGGTTCTCCTGATGCCTCCAAAATGAATCGTTAATAAAGTCACAGATCTCGAGGAGGAAACGACTTGGTTTTCACTGGTAATGAAAATAAATCACGAGGGCATTTATGATTGGTGAAGAAGGACTCTCAAGCCCATCAAGGACGAGGAAGACTCGTCACATCTGTTTGGAGTTACGGAGGGACGAGGCAGGGTGGTTTCCTTCCTTAAAGGAACAGGCTGGGGTGGTGGTGGCGGGTGGAGGCTCTGCAGAGTTGAAGTGCAATCATTACTTCAGGACTGCCAGCAAAAATGACGGCCACTCTCAGACTGCTATGAACCCACTGCAGGCTGGTGGTCGTCTCTGTCCTGCAGAACTGGTGGGCTTCTTAACCTGCCTGGCGGCAATCACAAGTGTGGCTCAGGGAAAATGTTAACTGTCCGAAGTGGTAACCGCGAGCCACACTCGGGATTACACTGCAGAGAAGTCCCTTATCAAAATTACTGACATAATTAGACCGCCAGGGAGATTAAAATAAACTCATTTTCCAGGCCCACATTGCTGACTTCCTAGGTAGGGCCCAAGATCAAAAATGGTTCCCAAAGCTCCCCAGCTGATCTTCATATCCCATTCATCCCTGTGAGATGGAGCATTCCCTCCCGCCCCCTGCTGCTGGTGGAGGGGCCCGTTACTCGGAGCCACCCACCCAGGACCCTGTATGATGAGCCTCGAACAGGCTGGCCCAGCTCACCCCAAAGAGGGTGCCCGTCGGTTTGAAAAACAGTGGACAAGGCAGTAGTGTGGTTGGGTCCTTTACAACAGCAACCTTCTCTTCCTACACCAAGAGCAAATTCAGCCTACTGTGATCAAGTGTGTCTCCCGATGGGCCAGAAAGGTTAAAGACCAGTGTGGATTCCAAACGCTTGTGGTGGCCTACAAACCTGTGTCATCTCCTTGGTTAATGCAGGAGAAGGCCCGCTCCTGCACAGTGAGTGCTGCCAGTGCGAATCCACATGGGGTCTTCCTCTCCTGGCAGGCCATTAGTTTGCTGAGGGCAAGTCGATTGGGTTCTGACTCCTGGCACATAGGAGAAGCCCACTGAAGGCGGGGAGGAGGATGGGCGGAGGGAAGGTGTCCTGGGCAGCTGGCACTTCTGTGAAAGCCAGCTCCCTCAGCTGGGCCTTCCTCTCCTGGTCCCTTGATGCCACAGGGTCCCGGGGCGTGGTCCTGGCCTCTGTTCTCAGTCTGTTTTTCCTTCTCTCACTCCAGAACACCACCGATAAATGTCCAGCTGTCCTTGATCCCTCCACTGGAAGTCAAGACTTCCATGTGCCCCCGTCTGGACATCTCACCCTCACCCCTGGGGGCAAGCCTACTCCCCCAGTGGCCTTCCCCATCATGGCTAGTGGCAGCTCTGTGTGTCCCCCCCCCCCAGGGTTAACTCCAGATCTGCTGTGGTGCTTGGCCTGTCACTCGCCCATCCAGTCATCCAGGATGCCCCATAGGTTCTGCCAAGCCCTTCCCACCTCTGCTGCTGCCATGTGGGTCCCAGCTGCCCTTGTCTTCTCGATGTTTCAGGGGACACCCATTGTCAGTTCTTTTTCCTTTAGCTTCGACTTCCCGAGAGCCTGTTTTTTTACCCAGCAGCCAGAGTGACCTTTTGAACCAAGAATCCAATCTGTCACTGCTCAGCAATCCCCTCAACCCAGGGCTCCCCCAGTTCTCTGAAAAGCTAAAGGTCATAGAGTGAGTCACAGGCTCCCTGTGGCTTTTTTATGCCCTTCCTCACTGCCCTGGTCATACTGACCCTCTGACTGTTCTTTAAAGGGCCAGGCGGGCAGTGTCTGGCTCCCCTGCCAGAATGAGCTTCTGCTGATACCTGCATAGGTAAATCCCTTGCCAGTTCCCAAGTTTTTGTCCATGGAGGCCCGCCCTAACCACCCTTTTCAAAGTTGTAAAGCCCTGTGCAGTCTCTCCCTACCCTGCCCAGCCTGCCTCGTCCTGTGCTCTGTTCCCCACTCCCATAGTACTTAACCCTGCTCTAACGTATGAGAGACTTAATGTCTTTTCTCCGTTCAGTAAGGACATATGGAAGGTGTTCAATAAACAGTTGGTGACGGGATTGAATGAAGACTAGGTAGGAAGTCGCACAGAATTAACTTGTGATTCAACGCCATTCTTGGTGCCTCTCAGCAATACTGTATATACTCAAGTATAAGCCGACCCAAATAGCAGCCGAAGCACCTAATTTTACCACCAAAACTGCATTAAAAATGTGCTGAAAAGCTCGGCTTATACCCGAGTGTATGTGGTATTTCGTCAATGAAGAGGAAAGCCTCACGGAGATGAAGTGAACACCCTGCCCCTCAGCCTGTCTCACTGACATCTAGAAGAGCCGTAAGGAGCCCCTGTCCGGTTCTGTTTGCAGTGGACACCATCTTTGCATGCTATTAGGTGCCAGCGGGTCGGCTCTGACTCGGCAACCCCGTGAGCAGCCGAAGGAGACACTGCCCGTCGCTGTGCATTCTCGCAGTCGGTGCTGTGTGTGAGCCCATTGTTGGAGCCACTGTGCCAGCCATCTCATCGAAGGTCTCTTTCCCACTAATCCTCTACAAGCATCCATTTCCCCATGACACAGTTTTTGCCTAACAGCCTGGTCTTTAGAACTAACCGTTTCAAAAAGTGAAGGTGGGTATACAGTTGATCTCCGCGTGTAAGGGAAGGAATTGAGACCCCTGCCTCACACCATATACAAAAACAGTCAAAGTGGACCAGAGTCCTAGATTTAAGCACTAAAACTATATATAGCTCTTCGATGAAAACATAAATTTAAATTTGCATGACCTGGGATTAGGAAATTTTCCCTTCAACCTGAAACTAAAAACAAGCAACTGAAGAAAAAAATGGATGATTGGACCTCACAGAAACAAAATGTTTGTGTTTCAAAAGATACTTTCAAGAAAGTGGAAAGATTACCAAAGGGGAACTATAAGTCATAGATCTAATTAGGGACTTGTATCTAGAATATATAAATAGCTCTTAGAACACGATAAAACAAGTACCATATGTACCAGAGTATAAGCCGACCCAAATATCAGCTGAAGCACCGAATTTTACCATGAAAACTGCATAAAAATGTGCTGAAAAACTCGGCTCTAGCCTAGTATATGCGGAGAATTTGATAGGCAGCTTTCCAAAGAAACATGGCTAATATGCATATGAAGAGTTACTCCACGTCAGCCATCAGGGAAGTGCCTGACCATGAGGTAGTACTTCTCCCCCACTGGGATGTCCATCATAACACAGGCAGTACTAACCAGCGTCCTTGAGCATGAGAAATGAGCTCTCGCCCCCTGCTGGTAGGAATGTAAAATGCTGCAGCTCCTTTGCAACAACAGTTTGGCAGCTCTTCAGAAATTAAGTTTGAGTTACCATCTGACTGAGAGAATGGAAAACGTGTCCACATTAAACGCTCATATGAGAATATTCAAGGCAGCAGTATTCATAAACGCCACAAAGTGGGAAGAGCCTAAATGCTCATCTATCAAGACATACCTGTAAATTATCTGAATGTGGATGTAGTCCTGTAAGGAGCCCTGGTGGCATAGCAGTTGTACATGTTTCCAATCGCAAGGTCAGCTGTTCAAAACCACCAGCTGCTTCTCAGGAGAAAGACCTGCTTTCAGCTCCCATGAAGAGTTGCAGTCTCAGAAACTCAGGGGCAGTTCAAAGTTCAAACCTGTCCTACAGGGTTGCTGTGAGGCGCCATGGACTCAGGGATTTGGGGGTGGGGTTTGTTATAGCTATATAACAGAATACTACTAGCTGTAAAAAGGTGTGAAGTCAGGAAATAATGACACATGCTACAACATGAATGAACCTGAAAACATGCCAAGTGGAAAGCTAGATGCAAAGGTCACATACGTTCCATGTATGAAGTGGCCAGAAGAGACATCATAAGGGAAGGGCCGAGAAAGATGAGGCGTTCTGCTCCTGTAAAGAGTAGAGACTTAGAAACCCAACGGGGCAATTCTACTCCATTCTCTACGGTCCCTATGAGTCAGAATCAACTTGATGGCAGTGGGTGGGGCTGAGCGAGGCGGAGGGATATGAGAGTGATGATCAGTGGGTACACAGCTTCTCTTTGGGAGGATGAGAATGTGCTGGGGCTGCAGAGTGGTGATGGCTCCATAACCGTGTGAAGATACCATAACCCAGGAGATCGTACACATTGAAGCAGTGAAGTGTATGTGGCTCCTAGCGCCGAGCTTACAGGTTGTGCTCTATTTGGAAAGGATTCCTGTGGCTTTGTGGTTTACACCTGGGCTGCTAACGGTGCTCAGCAATTTGAAACTACCAGCTGCTCTTCAGGAGAAAGACCTCTCCTCCTATAACGAGTTACGGTCTCAGAAAGCCCACAAGGGCAGTTCTATCCTGTCCTGTAGGGCCGCTTTGAGTGTGCTAGGGTTCTCTAGAGAAACAAAACCAGGACACTTATGATTAGATATATAGGTGTATAGATTTATACAGCTTGAGGAATATAACAATTAGTCCACACAGCAATGCAGAGGGCTCACTTCAACTCACTTCCATGGGACAGTTAATATACTGGAAGTCCTTCAACTCACGAGGGCTGCTGGGTCCGTGGTCAAGGAAGCAGACAGCTGAGTCTTCCATAGTACAATGCAGGCAGTCCAGCCAGCAGGGCAGGTCACCAACAGTCAGCTCCAACAGTCCAGTGCACCAGCGAGGTATATACCAGCAGCGTCGCAAAGCAGTTCCCGAAGGAATCTCAAGCTCTAGCAACACAATGCACAGGTTGGCAGTCCCACAGCTAGTGTAGCTCACAAATTGAGGCAGAGAACTAGCAACCACATGCTGGTCTGATCACCAGAGAGCAAGAGAGAGAGGGGCGGGGCTTGCCAAGCCATTTATCTCTTTGCCTTCCAATCAAACTGTGACCTTACTAATCCCACATTCCTATTGGCCAGGTTGGCACAATAAACCTACCTATCACAGTGAGTGAGAATTGACTTGGATGCAGTGAGTGAGCTCTGTTTGGAAACATTTCAATCTA